CCCAAATTTTCCCACTCCATTCAAATGTGAATAAATGGATTCTGGCCATCAGAAAACATTGTACTTGCAGCCAAAAGCTGATCAAACATTTCAACATCTCCAATTCCAAGTTATCCACCAGACGTGGGAGAGACCTTTTAAGTTTTATCACAGCAAATAGATAGTTTTCAATTTAGTTCAGTATTCAATAATTATGTCTATTGAATATAAGAATACAGATGAACACAGAAGACAGATTTAACTCTCAGGGTGCAGTTTCGCTATTTTAATCTGCTCTAACGGCAGACTGCTTGCAAAAGAGGCATTCACAAGATCCACATGAATTTTAAGAATGCATAGACATTGTGTGAAAAAAAAAACTGCTAAAATTAATTTTTTATTATATGCTTTTTCCCCCTTCTGCCTCATTAATTAAATGCATCTTTCTCTTACCCATGTAGCACTGCTCATTGGAGCTTTCCAAAACAAGCTCTTTCAGTTTGGCTTCCTGCCCATCCTGCATCATCTGAAGGACAATCTCTTCTCGAGTATCAGTGTCATTGCTTCAAAACCAGCACAACTGCTGTACTGCTGTTGCTTCCATCATCGCCAGCCTGTGAATTAACTTCCAAGCAGAAAACATCTTTGTGTGGGTCAGGCTGAATTTTATGCCCCTCCTCAGGCAGATGGCCAGCGCAGGAGAGGCAACTCAAACTAACACAGTTAAACCCAGTAACAGATACAGGGCAACTCAGAATCAATTCAGGATGTAATTTCATTATTAATTTAATATCATTGCGAGTCGCTGCCAAAAGGGACGCTCCTGTCCTCCCTCCCTACACCAGCCAGAATTCCTTCCTCTCCTTCCCTCGGTTGATGATCAGGCAGTAACGTGGCAAGTCAGATCTGCCTACTGCCTCCTCAAGTGTTTTTTCCAGGGCTAGGACTGAGGCTCCTTCAGCTCCTTGCATACCACCTTTTTTCTAAATCTGTCAAGTACAAAGACCTTGCTCAGAGATTTGATTGCAAGAAGTGGGGTTTTTTGGCAGTGTTAGCTCTTCAGTTGAATCACAGGGAGGATAAAGTACGTGCTCATGACACTGCCAGATAGGCAGGGGCCTACACTTAGCTTGAAGATATGCTAAATCTAATCAATTTAGATAAAGTGTATACAGAATATAAAACAGAACGCAGTTTGCTAATCTGAGTTGCCTTGTTGCAGGGTATTATTTCGGGATACAGAAGAACTAAAGTTTCACCTCACAGCCTCTGAAATGGAACATCAGACCCTCCAGCTCTCTGCCCTGCTGTTCCATCCCCTTGCAGCCATGACCCAAACCCTGCCTTAAGCAATGTCTGGCACACCTGACTGCAATGTGAGCAGATTTAATGCTGACTTTTTGCCAGGCTGGATTTCTGCTGTTTTAGTGAACTGAAGGAGCCTATCAGACAATCACATGAACATCAGGCCCAGCTCCTGTAATGAGGACCAGACACGTAAAGAGCTCTGGAGTCAGCTCCAAACCCTGCAGTCTTAAGCTGAGGATCATGTACAATATACAGAGTAGGCAAAGATACAAAGCAAGCAGTTAATTCACTACATTCTTCATGGTTCTCCCCAGATAGAAGTAACCAGGTCTATAAATGAGCACCTAGTACACATCAGCATGGGCATTCATGTTTTAAGTTTCTGAAATGGATAGAAGCCCTTTAATAAAACAGATAATAACATCTTATTTCAGAGAGGGTGGAAACAGGTATGGGATGCAATTGACCACTTCTTCCAGCCATTGGGAGCATCCTCCCTTATGCGTAACGGGAGCAGTCTGTAAACACCTGCAAGAATGCAACAGAGACATAGGATAGAAAATGCCGGCTGCTTCAGCAGTAAATTGAGACTGTTCAGCATGCCCCAGGCCATCGGCTCCCTGCAAGGTTCATCTGCCCAGGTATGAGACGTTAACTCTGCAAAGTTCACGGGGGGTGTGGGGGGCGTGGGGGCATACTTGTGTCAGATCTTGGCCCTTCCATTGAGCGACACGGAGCCCACAAGGGCTCCAACTAGCCTGTTCCTCAGCAGCAAACAGAACCAGGGTCCGTTACGGTTGCTCTTTTAGGAAGCATTGCCCTGTAGGATAGGTTACCCTGGAATGATCCTTTCAAGGACACCAGTGGAAGATCTGCTTTTCAATAGAAAACACAATACAATTAGGCTAAATGCTGTAGTGTGACAGAAAGCCAGCAAATCTGGCTCACAGGCACTCAATTTCAAGAAAAGAAACTACGTAAAAAAAAAAGAGGCAACTTGTCAAAACAAAATTAAAAAAATAGCAAAAGCAACAGAAAAGGAATCCTACAAGGACCCTGGAGACTGTTGAAAATGCTGTATGGGAAGCCCAGGTAATCTGTGTGCCACTATGCAAGCGTGAGGACAGAGCCGCCTTCTACACAAACCCTGCATGACCCAGCCGGAAGTTTAAGGAGGCCATTGGGGAACAGCTGGAATTTAAAAGCAGGAACTTTGTTCAGATGAGCAAAACAGGAAACCCCATAAAGCATGGCAAACCAAATGCAAATGGGAAGCTAAGAGGACTAAAAGAAGGAAATAATTTGAATGGTCCCTTGGCAAAGGATGCTCAAATGGATAGTTTGTGTTACTTGTTTACTTGCTTCGTTACTCAAACACGCCACAGCCAGGAAGCCAGCTACAGAGCAGACGAGATCACCCAACTGCCATGGTGTACAAGGGCACTGCGGAGCGGCAGAGCCATCGCAGACACCCAGCAAATAGCAGGCAACAGCCATCACTTCCAAAGCTGCCAGGGAAATCCCACACCAGCACGTTCCGTGGGGCAGACAGAGCACAGAAGTTAGAGCATCCACAGAAACATTAGGCGGTTCGGTACTTGGGAAAATGTTTGAAAGTTAAAACTCATTGAAGAGTTTAATTGAAAACCACATTTTTATTTGTAAAACTTGGGTGTGGCAGACATTTTTCCTCAGGCCAGGTTTGCTTTCTGCTGTTTTAGCAAGTTGAAGGGGGTCACCCTGCAATCACAGGAGCAATGGAGACAGCGTGATGACGAGAGAGAGAGGAAAGGAGAGGGGGATACAACCCACCATTCAGGAGAACTATTAATCGAGCTTAAATATTCAAGGTTTTGGAAGTAGATAATTTCAGGAGATTAAAAAAAATGGTTTGATACATTCAGGAGAACAGGTCTATAAACAGCCGCTAGACATGAGGGTGGGGGAAGGATCTATCCTCCATATCCACAGCCCAACCTTTGTGGATCCTGGGAGAGCAATGGGGGAAAGCAGCAGAAAGCTGCCCAGCTCACAGCCTCTCCCTAAACACTTTGCCCCACTGCCACAGTTGGAGAACTGGATGGCCAGATGCACTGCTGGGCAGGCCAGGCAGTGCCCCTCTTATGCCTGTCCTTATCTGACGGCATTCACGCTTCACATGAAGTCCTTACCAGGTATTTCTCTACATGCTGAAACAAGCAAGCAGCAGAGAAGCAACTCGGCACAGCCCAGGGTGCTCAGCCCATGAGAAAATACAGAATTACCTAATCACCAGCACCAAACTGTTTTTGACTGGGCCTGGATTTGGCCAGTTACTCTTCAATTCTGAAACAGCATCACCTGAGCAGGGAGCCACTGCCCTGTAACCCCCCAACCACATACAATAAGATGGCAGGTTTTAGACAGCCGGGTCCCTCCCCATCACCAGATTAAGTCACCTTGTGATGAAATGCAGAGGTGTGAGAGATGTATTTTGCCATCAGCTGTATCAAAAGGAGGCCAAGAGCCCCAAAACAGATCCCTGCCCTCCCTCCCTTGCCAGTAAAACCTGTCCATCAATGACACCAGTTATTTAAATCCTCTGTCCAGAAACAGAATCATACTACACCAGGCCTGGGATATCATCGGATATGCAGGCCTTTGGCTAAATTCTTCAAGTTTGATGATAAATGGGATGCTTGAATCCGGGTGGCAGCTGCCTAGAAACAATGTGTTTGTGTGTGCTTCCTTGGTGTTGGTCAGACTATCAGACAAGTAAGAACAAAGAAAGAAAAATTATTTTCCTGCAAAATACTTTAACTATTTCAGGAAGGACATCAGTTGCTTCTGAGGTTTCAGCAGCAGAATGGGCTCAGAGTCTCTCTCGAATGCCCCTGCTTGACACGGCTCTGAGCAGCCCGGGCCCCAGACAAGTGCCGGAGGGGACAGAGGGGAGCCAACTGCTGCTGTTCCGCAGGCTGTTATGACCGAGTGGCATTTTACCCAGAATAAAGAGAGGAGCATCTTCTGATGATAGGCCTGAGCTCTGTTGAGCCACTCATGGCTGCTTGAGTAATTTGCCACCCTCAACAGGCCCATGAAGCGGTGTTTAACAATCCCAGCAGAGCCTCATGGAAGTCTCTAGGGTCCAATTCCTGGCCATCAGTAACTGATTTAACATCACTATACATAAGAATGACTTCTGTTCAAAGTCAATTATAAAACTACATATGAGCTAGATACCTAAAACATCTTTGGAAGGAAAGTGATGTTTTCTGTCGAATTAGGAATGCCTTTCTGAAAGTAGCTGGAGGCCAAAGGAGGATGGTACTTTGTACCAAACATGCCTTCCCAAATTTTGTCAGTAAGGCCTAATTACCAAGTACCATATACACCCAAACCCAGTTTGCTCTCCACAGATTCCCACAGCTCTTCTTGGCTCTGCATGCTTGTGAATTTAGATCTTCCTTCAAAAACCCTGGACATCAGTGCTTGAGATCTGCCAAAGTCTGACGACACATCCTCTTGAAGGCACTTCCTGCCCTGGTGAGACCTTGCCCCTCGAAATCCCAGCCCCATTGGCATTTTAGGCAGGAAAGAACTTGGCCTTCCCTTTCCCTCCACCCTTCTTCCCCTCCCTTTTCTCATTCATCCCCACACCAATTCACATTAAAATCTGCGTGGTCAAAGTTAGAAGCCAAAGCCATGTACTAGACTGGGTAAACAACTCATACTAGAAAAGAACAGTTTTTACAAAGGTTCGTTGAATCTGCATAGTTCTTGCTGCAATGTGTGTCAGGTAAAAGTAGTCTGTTCTTCTTTTCCTCTCTCAAACTTCTCCAAACCAAAGTCCATGGTGTAGACCAAGAGTAACTCTGTAAACCAGAGTTTAGTTTCCATTAAGAAACAATAGTGTAAGTTAAGGTGATACCTAGTAAGGGAAATTCAGTTTCATATACTTGGGATACAGCAAACACATTCACAAACTTAAGAGAGCTTCCCATCACATATCTTAGAGTGGAAATCCACAGCTACTCCAACTAGGATATAGTTATTGTAAATAAAGCCCTGAAGATGCTAAAACACAAAGACTTTACTTCCTTCAAAAGTAGCTGAAGATCTCAATACAAATTATTTAGTTTCTGAATGAAGCCAAATCATCACATGGGTTTCATGTTTAACCCCCCTGTTTAGAAAGACTTGGTTACAGCAGATTAAGTCCTGATTTCATTCCCTAGAAACCAGCACAGGATGCGGAGGATGTACCATCCCACAGCGCCAGTGAAGGATGAAGCTGACTACACTAATGTCTAAAACAAATTCCTCGAGTAAGAAGTGCTAAGAGGAAGTTTCTCAGAAGTCTGTTCACAGCCTCTTCTGCAGGTGAAGGTGGCATGACAGAGACATCCCAAAGTTTCCATTTATGGGGACTGAATGCAATCGCAGAACAAGTTAGGCTGGAAGGGATCTCTGGAGGTCATCTAGTACAACCTCCTACTCCAAGCAGGAGTAATTTCAAAGCTGGATCCAGTTGCTCTACATCCCTAAGCATGCAGATTTCAGCATTACACACCACTCTTATTGCAAAAATGTTTTCCTTTTATCCAGCGGGAATTTCCATTGCTGCAAGTGGAAGGCAGATGTATAAACAATGATATTTTTAACCTGAAAATATCACAGGTCAGAATAAAAAAAAAAATGAAAATCCCAAAGTAGTGACTGTTACAGCCATACACCAGCACTATTTAAAAATTCCCTTTCTAAAACTGTTTAATAATGAATAAGGAACCAAGTCAGATATTTCACATTAAAGGTGTAGATTTTTCAGGGCAGATGTTAATATGTCAAAATAACAGCTTTAATATTAAATTGATCCCTGCTCCTGGAAAACATCCAATACTGTCCAGAATAAGAATACACAAAGAACTGCGCAGGATCTGTGTGGTGCAAGATCCGGTCTGATACAGTTCCAGAGCAAATGCCTAGGGAACAGCAGAACAGCACCTAGCGATACTTCCCTTCTGGTCGTACATCCACACATACTTCAGATGAGCGTCAATCTCTCTCAGGTCCTGCAGAAGCATCTTCCCCAGCGCACTGAAACACTGCTGTCCTTTCCGAACACAGAGGCTCTTTATTCTCAGGCTTTGTGCTGCAGAAAAACTGGTAAGGCAGCCTTACCCATGAAATCTAGTTTGGTACCTCTCTCCCTCCCTGACAGTCACGAAAGTTATGAACATCTTTACCTGTTATACACAGAATATGCTTTCATCCCAACATGACAAAGCCAAAAAATAGTATTTAATACAAAGTAAGACACTCTGGAGGTTAAATCAAAGACTAACTCTTTCCAACAGCCAATTTCAACAGCTCTGAGCAGCCACAACTTTCCAGAAGTCAGAGCGTGTTGTCCAGAGAAGGACCTTCCCAGTGCAAGGCCCTTAGGAAAGGGCAAGCATTAGGACACCCGCCTGGACCCTACAAAAGCCTGTTGATGGCCAGCACTCACCTGGAAAGAGACTATCAAATATTTTACCTGGTTTTAGCATCTCCTTCCTGTAACATTACATGCACGCTTCTCCCATATTAAACTAAATTTTGCTTAAGGGTTCAAGACACTGCTGATGCAATCATCTCAGAAATGAGAGCCCTAATTAGTTCTGGATTGATTTCTTCACTCCAATATTACTTTTTTCTCCCACCCTCTCCAAGCTTCATTGCCTTATCCTTCTGGAAAATGGCAGATGTATTTACCTACCCCATGACCAGTATTGCAACGTTACAGCCACGAATTCTGAAGAAACCCCCGCAAAGAGTTTTAATTTAAATGTTCTGAAGAAAGGCAGTCATACTGTATGATGCAATTAAGACAGTATTAGTCAGGCGAACTGTGGTACTAGCAGGTGCCAAACCCAACTGTAAAAAGTGTCATATTAGCTTAAGCCACCATCATGAAACCAAAGTCTAGATTCGCTTTTGAGCCTCCTGCACAGCAATTTAACCTAATGAGTTTGAGCTTACTGGTGGAGAGGTCTAAGAGCACCCGCAGAGCGTAACACAATTAGTTATCCATTAAGCCCCAGTAATCCAGTTACTCTGGATCATACATAATCCTGGAAAAGTAAAATTATAATAATCCACCTTACCACAGAGCACTCCCTCACCATCTCAAGAGCCCGATTTAGTCTCAGGCACAGCCGCAGCCTGCTCAGAAGCAAGGTGTCCCCAGGCAAATGCCAGCCTCTCCCGGGGAGCATGGTCCCCAAGGCCACGTGCTCACACTGCAGTGCAGCACATGTTACAGCGGTTACGATGGAGGGGGTATCCAGACAGCACCAACAGACCCCACAGCTTCTCTCTACTCCTTCAACTTCCAGATATCTCAAAGACTTGCAGATTGAGGTAGTATCTTTTATCTGACTAGCTGGAAATAATGACAAGTTTTTGTGACCAGAAGCCCTTCTCCAGGTCAGAAGCAGACGTCGAACTGAAATACAACTCAAAGCACAATTCACCTGAGCAGTCTTTGAGTTTAAGTGATCTCTCTCTTTACAATTAAGTAAAGAAATGTTGTGTGAGGTGCTCTGAATCAGCCTAAAACGTCAAGAAATTAATTCTGTCAATGAATATGTGAACACAACAAACCACAGGTAATAAACCACGAATAAATAGCACTCGTACATTGGAACCATGTCCAGTTTCTATGAATCCAAAACCTTCTCCTTCAGTATGTCCTTTTCCAAATCCTATGGAGTAATCCCAAAATAACACTACTGCCACTGGCTGGTATTTTGTTGTTGTAGTGTTTCTGTAGTAGCTGAAGCCGGAACTACCTACCACCACTGGAAGAAGATGCCACCACCCCAACTCACAGTCAGACCAAGAGGATACATTAGCTCTTGCTGTCACACAAGTTTTAATACTCCCATAACAACCCCAAAATACCAGCCACAAGGCCAGGCTATATGTTGAGATCTATGCAAACTGTATTTCACTTTACTTGGTATTTTCACCAAAACACTTTGCTGAGAAGTTGCACTGATTTTGCCCAATGCAAAACGATCAGAGGGGCTGTTTCAGCCTGCCAGGCTTCAGATCCCTACTCCAACATCCGAAGGATTTCTCTTAAGAACAGAGCTCTAGAGCTAAGCCTGCAAAGCCTTGCAAACAGCATTCTGATGAAGTGTTACCTGCAGAATAAATCAGCCTAAATACAGGGAATCATTCCAACAGATTAAAACCTCAACACCAAAGAGAAAGGAGTAGGTCCTGCTCCCACTTTATAAATACCTCACTTCGTTTTGAGCCTGCCACCCGCTACTTTCATTTGGTAGTCTTAGTCCTTTCATTGGAAGAGACAGTGAATAACGGGTTCATATACGCTCCATGCGGCTAAGACTTCATATGCTTCCACCATATCCTCTTCAAAGATGCCTTTCTGAGCCTGAAGAGTTTTGATCTACTCATCATTCTTTACAAGGAACTTATTTCACACCTTTGATCATTCTTGTCAACCTTCCCAGAATCTCTGACAGTTTCACTGGGTCTTCAGAAGCAAGGAGACCAGTCCTCATGCAGCGTTCACAACACAGGCGCACTATGGGATTACAGAGCAGTATGTTTCCTAGTTTGATCACTATTATTTTTCCACAAGCATCTAATCTTTAATTTGCCTTTCCAAACACCGAGATAAACTTCCTTCTGCCCAGTGTAGATTTTTATTGGGTGTCCCAACACGCTGTCAGATATGCCAGTTATTCTTTACTCACCTTCTGGGCTAGTCGTGCTTTCATAAAGCTTTATTACTTCCTTTTGCCCTCCAAGTGGCTCCTTTCCAAGGTGCAAAGTCCTAAACTGTTTAATGTCTCCTCTTCTTTCTTCTCATTCCATGCCTTTGCTCTCTCTTGTCACCTTCCTCTCGTTTCTAGTTCACTTATACTTGAAGAATTTGTCAGAATAATTATGGTGATAATTAGCTCCAGTGTAGATTGTCTAGGATTTTACTGCTCTACGGGACTGTTTTTCACACTTCCTCTGGGAGATGCATCAAGAGTTTCTCTCTGTAAATTTGCCTTAATGCTGCCACATACCTTCACAAACGTGCAGGCAACCTTCCACATGATGCCCTGCTTCCCCCACTCCCAAATCAGGAATTTTGTTAAAAACAATTTTTTATTACATCATTTTAAATCTAAGCTGCTCATATTCTTCCCCCTTGAGCTCAAGTTGACCTCAATTTTTAATTTATTTATTTTTTTTTAATTTAGGCCTTTTATGTACATTTTCTCCATTTGCGTATGAGCTACACTAGGTTAGTGCCTGGTAGCCACAAAGAAAAAGTGTCCATCAACCACAGCAGTGGAGAAGCCCTATACTCCTCTACTTGTTCAAGAGCTTCAATCAAAAGAAGGACACAGTGGGAATCATTACAGGTTCAGGCATTTGTTTCTTTTCAAAACAATATGTTGATCTGATTTAGTTTCCATAGTTCATCCTAATCTATTTTTAGGCTGTACTCTTGGTTTTCTTGGACCCTTCAGGTAACACTTATGTCAATATTACTCAGCACACTAGAGCCAGAAGAGATGGGTTTCGTTCATCTGCCTGAACCTCCTGCCTAGCACAGGATAATGAATCTCTCTATAGAATCCCTTCACCAAACCACATAGGCTGAGACTGGGCAGTGCCATTTCTCTTGGGATCTTTTGAGTCAGCACTGAGTAACTTTCTGTTTAATGAAGGGACCAATACTTTCCATTGCAGCTCAATACACTGCCACTTGATACACTCCTCCTGTTAATTATTCACCTCAGGTAGAGTTTAAATGCTTTGGTTTTCTTTCAATTGAAGCTGTAATCAG